GAGCTCTGCCCTCTCCCCGTGGCTGCCCACCACTGCCCCGTGGTGCCGGGAAAGCCCTGACCATGCGCACGCTCAGCCGTGGTGCTGCCAGCCAAGCCCCGGGTCCCACTGTGCCACAGGCTCCCCGCTGGCCCCCAGTCCCAGCCCTCCAGCATCTCCCCCGGGATCCCCTCACCAGGGCAGGGGAGGAGGAAGCGCCTCCCCCGTGCTGCAGTGTGGTTACTTACCCACGGCACAAGAATTTGGGGTGAACCTCCACCTGGGCCAGCGGACACTGTTCCTCCAGGACTTCTCTCTTTGCAAAGTCTCCCTGAGGGCCACAGCTTGATCTCAAGAGCTTCAGAGGAACCTCAATGCTGGAGGGTGCATAAAGGGGGCCAAAGGGAGCTAGAAACGGGCCAGGAGACCACAAGCAGGATGGAAATGAGCAGGGCTTGGCTTCCCTCCACTGGGCTCAAGGGACTTAGCCACTGCGGGGGACTGTGGGGACGGCCCCGTTCCTGGCGGTGTCTGACTTTATCATGGGTGTCCTAAGAGGGCTCCGTCCCCCTTCCCTACCCCGAGCAGTCTCCTGGCATGGCCGCCTGTGCTGATGCCACCTCTCACCCCACCGCCTGTACAGGGGCGTTTGCCAAGCTGGGCTTAAACACGGGGTTTTGCACAAGCAAAGCAAACCCAATGGCACAAGGTGGCCTTTGGGCACAGTGGTCCCCCCAAGACACCCGGCTCCCCTAGGCAGGAGGGTGCTGCAGCCCCCCCCAGTCCCCCTCCTGGCTCTGTACTTGGCCCAGCACAGGGGTGTCCCACAGCCACGGGGGAGCGGGATGCCACCAGCCATGGATGCAGACGTTTGTCCCTGCCCCAAAGTCCAGCTTAGCTGGGGGGGGAAGGATAAACAGAAATTCCCCAAATGGCCCCACTGCCCTCTCCTCCCCCAGGAGCTGTGGGCTGGACCCCCCCCCTTCCCCAGGGCCACAGCCTCGCTGCAGCCCCTGGGGAGCTCTGCCCTCTCCCCGTGGCTCGCCACCCCAGGCCCCGTCTGCCGGGAGCAC